ACACCGATTCCCTGTCCGGGGTTCGATCCCTGGACCTCGGTTGCGACAACGGCGCCTCATTCTACCCTCACTTCCTTCATCTATGCAACGGTGGTACCAATCAATACCCTATTGTTTCATTTCTCATACATCTGGCCACAGGTTCATCTGGGCTTACGTATGACTGCGTTTTGTAGCAAAACCATCTCCGCTTTTACTCACAAAGAGCAATTTCTCAAGTCTCCACCCCAAGGGCTGTCAGATCATCCGTGTAGGAAACATTATTTACGAGGACGTAATTTATGAGACAGCTCGCCTACGATGACGACCAGTCGAGTACGCATAGAATCACATCAAACACATTCCACAAATACCAGGTGACGGCGTGGTTTTTCGTAGAGTGGCCGCCAGATGGCGCCGACGACGTCGTTCGGGTCGTCGACTCCAGTCCTGATTTTTTTGCCGCCAGCGTAGCGCTTCAGTGGCCAGCGATTGTAATTAGTGTCTTTAGGTCTTGTTTGGACTGAACTAATCAGGCTGATCTATATTTATTCTGACTGCGATTTCTAGGTTGCCCAAATCACTCCGGATCGGCGCTCATATCCATCAGTGATCCCTCCGGAACGGCTACGAATCGTTTTCCGTTTGAAGGCTCTAGAATTCCTTCTCCCGTAGGCTTCCTGTACCTCCCCACTAGAATGTCTTAGGCGTTCCACAAACAAGCTCTTTTCGAGTCCTTCAGCCACAACATTTGGACCTAGACCTCCTTATGCCTATACCGCCTCCCAAGCGGCATTTCCACGTTCCTTCGCAGACAGTAGTTGTTCTGCTGGGCTGCTGCTTAAATTAATGGACAGAAGTGCCATCTCACAGAGGGTTCCAATGTATTCCTTGCATATTGATTGGTTCTCTTTACTGTTCTCCGTAACATCGTCTTTAACTTCTTCACTTATGTACTGAGGTCCACGTCCTGTCTGAGCCTTTTTTGAAGCATTCCGGAGAGAATTTAATTGCCCTGCGTTTGTGGCATTCAGAACGCACAACTACTAGTTAAGAAATCTGTTTGCTGACTCGTCCCCCGTCCCCCCTTCCCCCGCACTGTCATCACGAGGTTGAAGTAATAATACCCTCCGGGGCAGTAATCATAGCGTCTGCCAGAGCACTACAGGGTGCCAGCTGCGTGGGTTTGTCTTCTTTACGCTTCTGTTCAGCGCATTTCCTGCCGGTCCTTTTGACCATTCAACTTTTTTAGTAATCCGTTTTCTAGAGCAGGAACTGAGTTACATACATCCCCAAACAAAAGCTCGAATTCAGCAATTCAACACGGTTTTTTGGTGGTGCCAGTGAGGGGAGCCGTGGTGATTACCCCTGCAGCTGAGAGAGCCCGCGACCACGCCTCTTCCCTGCTTACCGCAGATATCCTTTGTGGTTTTCTGTGGTTCCCTTCTGTTTGGGGGGAATAAAGAAGTTCTGCTGGAAATTTGTGTCTTTTATGGTCACCAAGCAGTTGCTGTTGCCCTTATGGTGCCGCAAAAGGGTTGGGTGGATGACTGCCAACCAGCTGGCGCCACAAATCGCCATCAATCGGCACCATAACCCCTTGAACCTCCAAACAGTCCATCAACTGAAGGCTAATGTGGCGACCATTTTCTATCTTTCCTTTTAAGACTGAACCATGTTTTTTACTAGAATTTTTTTATACTATCATTCCATTTTGTTTGGCTTTTGGAACAATTCCCGTTTTGAAGTGGGCTTTGTTATCCACCAGCTACCATTTTTCAAAAAAAAGAAACTTCTCAGGAACAAAGAAAAATCGATTTCCTATTTTATGGAGACTCCGGCTTGAATAGCGAAAAAATTGTCCCATTTCAATGTTCCGCTTAAAATCTCGTCATTGAATTCATTTTTTATCGATTTTCTATTTTTGGGGCTTTGTGGGTTTTCTTCTGGGAAGAGAATTCTTTTTCTTGAACGAAAATACACTAGGGATTCCTTTGAAGTTTCGAACTGGTTTTCTTGCTAAAGTTGTTCCCATAGAAGTTTATCAGACTATTTTTCTTTGTTTACAGCCAAATTTATGTTTGAAGGACTGTTTTGGTAGTGGTTTCTAGCCTCTAAAGACATACAAGTCCTTCTAAAGGATCTTTCAATTCATACTGATAGTGATGAGCAAACCCTTTTTACTGGAATTTGTAGAATTTAGGCTTAAATTGAAGTTCCTTTGTGTGTGAGTATAAAGTTGACAACGTTTCAAAAAAGTTAATTACAGTATCAGTTCACTCAAGTCTTTACAATAATGCTAATCGAATTTTTCTTTCTCTACTTTTTATTTCTAAGCAATCTTCATTTTTCTTTATAATTGCGCTGTACTAATGCCGGCTATTCGAGATTGATTTTGATATTAAATTCCCAGATAATGTGACTTATCGAAAATTATGAGGGAGCGACAAGATGTTATGTGGCATCAGCCGGCAGGCGTTGATCGCGTGCCAGTGTGAGTCAACAGATCGGATGAGCCATCAGTTTTTGTTAAAACGTTCACACATGGCACATATTGCTTATGAAAACTTTCTTTACGATAAGAACGGCATTGTCCCGACTAATGGGTCTCGACACGAGTGCCTGTAAACGGTGTCCGCCGCTCTAGTGGCAATAGAGAATAGTGAATAGGCGCTAACATGTTAAATGTCGCTTACACGACGACGATGCGGCATTTCAACGCGGCGTCATTTGTCACGGAAGCAGCTTCTTTAGTACGTTGTGTGAAGCCTTCGCTATGACTCAGAAAAAGAAAGATCGCTTTCATCTTTCGTTGATGGATCGCTCGAATTTTATTGATTGGCTAAGATAGTATAAACATGATGCCGTATGAGCGTAGAGCGTATGAGAAGTTCAATCGTAGCAGGGATCTTCAAAAAATTATCGGCCGTCGCCCTAATTTTTACCGCATTCCCCACTGAAAATGCAAAATACAAAAAACAATCTTGCCGCATCAGAGCGTTCGAAGGGATCTGACCCTAATATGTGGATCTTTTAAGGGCAATAAAACGCAAACGCAGAGCCTAATTTGCCCTTAATTTCTAGTTTAATTTGTTTTTTCAAAGAGATTCTTGTGTTTCAATATTCTTTTTCTCCTCAACGAGACAGGTACATCTGATTGGCAGCCTCCATACACAGCGAAAAACTAATCGGCGGCCCGTGTAAATCTTACGTATCGATTGCAGGTGTAGGTAGCCGACCCGACGCTACCTACGTCTGCAGTCGATAGGCAAGACTTGACCGTTGACATGTTATATCTTGTGTGAACGTGTCTTCCCTAATTTTGTCATTCATGTTTACGTCTGAACATGTTTTTACTGGTTTATGCGTAATCTCGTAGGGGGTCTCATTATCGATCGCCCATCTGATTAATCTTGGGAATCGATTATCGATTTTTCGGTAGATTTGATTCCTTCATGCTCACATGCCCGTGGCTGTCACTCGTTCTACAACAGCGGCTTCCCTCATTACACTGACTGATGTGAGCCTGACAAGTTTCCTGTTCGTCGTTCGTCTCCGTTGTCGCATCGACGTCGTTGTGTCGATTGAGTTGAGTGATGTGGCGGTGGCGGTACTGTTTGTGGTGATTCTCACTCGGAATTCTATTGAATAGTAGTCCTCCAGTCGTCGACTGTATGTGTTTTCTGACTATGCCACTCCGAGAACGCTTACTAAAGCACCAGCTCAGCCCAGTACTGTTCTACTCGGAAGCTGTCGGATTTTTATGGAAAATTAGTTATTATTCAAGTAAGGGTTGCGTACCGGAAGTGATAGCGCTTATCTGAACTATTTCGCACAGAAATATAATACTTCGTTATGTAGTCGCTACTGCTGGACACTGCCGATTACAATAAGGAATGTTCATCCTTTCTTTCTTTCTCTTCTGTTTGCAATTTCATCCTCTGTGCAAAGATTTAGTCATTGCCTCTCTTTTTGCTTTTTCTTGATGCCTATTTTTTTATTTTCTTTCGAAAAATACGAAATACTTTATATTTCATGTTTTTCTTCTATCATGATGAACCCCATTTATCCTACTTTCTCTCATTCATTATTTTTGTTTTTCGAATATTTGGATTTTCTCTCGGGTAGGCCTGCTAAGACCGTAAACCCATTAAATAAAGCAAAATAAAAAATTATGATTAATTTTTCTTAGAAAGAAGTCTTAAGCACAGATATTACGTAGTAGCGCCCAAACCTCAAGAAACCCACGGAACCAATCTCGCCCAGGCACATTAAGCCTTCGGATATTCTCGATTCCAAAATTTTTCGAAGAATTTTCCGAAAGAACCCTTTCAGTTTTCACTGTTACGCTATTACATGTGTAGATGTCACTCAATTACTCCACTTATTTCAATGTAGGGAGAGGGAGTGGCGCATTCCCGGAAGTATCACGATCCGACAATTTGCTCTCTCAGCTCTTTCAGGCTTTTTTTGCCTTACAGGGAATGCCTAATTTTTTTGATTTTTTTTTTGTTTTGTTTTATTCCATTATCCTAAAGAAAGTATTGCAGAGGCGGTTATCAATTTCTGAGATCAATGTTTTTAAACCTCCTGCGGTCAATATAGAATGAGAACTTCGAAGATAAAAACCGAAGTTCATCCATCTCTCAGTTCCACTTTTTGCTTTACGCAAACGACCTTCCTTTGGCCTCTTGCGCCCTGTTTTTCTTCGATTTCTTTCTCTGCGCCTGAGCTTTCACTGTTCTCACGGCCCTAAATGAATTTCTTCGTCATTTAACACTGCCTTTATCCAAGATGGCATTGGCAGTGAGCGGCAAGTCGGTTTCGGACTAAATGACCCATATAAAGGTCACAAATAGATCAGAACTCGGAAAATCATCGCTCTTTCCATATTGGTTTTTTTCCGAAGTAGTGATTCACATGATACAGTTTTTGTAGGCCTTTTTTGCCATTTCGATATTGAATGTATTGATTGATTTTTATGTATTCATGTTACATTTGCATATATGTTGTGGTTTTAGGCGACCATATCTTCTCAAAGCAAACTCGACATGAATCACAACGCGATCTGAATCATAATGGTGGGTGTGGCTGTAATATGAGCTCTGTATTATTTTTCTTTTTGAAACTTTCCCGTTTCGACATTTATTATTACAGTATGCCGTAAAAAACTGTGGATTTAAAAGGCCCACCAGTTTGAATTCTGGCTGATAAACGAGTAGTTCAGTCCTAGTACTTCCTATAAAACTCTCCATTTATAAACGGAGGCGACGAAAGGTCGTGAATGACTACTATTACTAAAGACAGCGTGAGATTCCCACCATAATTCTCAGAAAAATTGAGAAGACAGTTCCTTGCGGACTTATTTCTGTCTCATTGCCCTTATGTACAATTCAAAATGATACACTTTTCTAGAATGTTCTTTTTGCTACAACTTAAAACTGTTCCTTTATTGGTTTTTATATATTTTCACTAATGTTATTGTTGTCATGGGTGATAAGCTTTTGAGAGGCTTTTGTGTCCATTAGTTATCCTAGAACCACTAATTCATAAGGTCCACTAGTTCTTACTGCCCTTCCTTCATCTATAACAGCGACTAGAAACTGTCGTTCGAAGTCTGATAGTCGACCAATGACATTNTATTGGTTTTTATATATTTTCACTAATGTTATTGTTGTCATGGGTGATAAGCTTTTGAGAGGCTTTTGTGCCCATTAGTTATCCTAGAACGACTAATTCATAGGGTCCACTGGTTCTTACTGCCCTTCCTTCATCTATAACAGCGACTAGAAACTGTCGTTCGAAGTCTGATAGTCGACCAATGACATTTTTCTGTGCGCATCCTTTAGCGATACCCCATTGGTCAGTGATCACGGAAACCCCGCCCATCACCTTGTAGGGCCCCAATTGTGATCAGGCCCTGAAAACTGCGTATTTTCGAGCTGCGCTGTCTATTTCATTGCCGTGGAGGGGTTTTTGCCAACTAAATGGAGGAGGGACAGGTCACATTTGCTGACTCGACTTCGATCAATTGATTTTATGCGCTTCGGCGATAGCCTCGTTACCCTTGCTAGGCTACCTTTGCACTGCTTTTTCTCTATGACTATGCCTCGTTATATAGGAGTTTCGATGGTAACGTGCGGCTATTATATGTGTCTCTCACAATCTACCAAAGTCGTGCTTGCTAAGCTTTTATTTTTTTTTCTCCGAAAACGGTTCATCCACTCTCTGCCGGACTTCATACCGTAACCGAAAATTTGTCAACCACTAGGAATCTTTCATTGTTGTTTTGTTTTTGATCAAATGCCTTTGGCCAAAGGGCTCATTACAAATCGGATCGATTACGGTGACTTGAGTAATCTGAACTTCTATAATAATATGGTCCGCCATCAATTGACAGAGAGCTCACTCGACCACTTTATCACCTCTAGTTCATGCAGTGTTACTTTATTGGTTCAACTTACTCATATTCCTCTGCTTAACCGAGAAACTTCGTCCTTTCCGCGACGGGCGTCATTTGTTCCAAAGAATTCCAAGCAAAACCGCATTGACGCTTATGCATTGTTTCACTGAAGAAAACTGCGACACCGAAACTCGTCCTCATTTTAGACCCATGACGTTCGTTGTTGTTTTTTATTCATGAGTGACTAGAAGGTATGTTTACGCAGCTTGACTAGAGCTGTCTTTGGCTTCTTCTAGCAATAGGTGGTTTGGTCACAGGCTTACGTACCCGACATTAGCCAGTTCTGGTGACTTGTCATTACGATAATGAATAGGTCTAGCTAAATCTATGAATATTTCTACTCCCCTGACTGTTTTAGTAATTTTGGAGATGTTTTATCGTATCCCTTGTTCTAAAGTGGTTCCCAAAGCGATCGTCGTCGAGTTTTGCTCGTATGCCAGCCAGTTCGTGTTCGTAATCGGTTGAATGGCAGATGCTTTTGAAAAACTGGTCCTTTCTCGAGAAAGCGACCTTCTCCCAATGGTTTCGCTGACCTCGTAATCGTTTCTCAATCTCATCAACGCGCCATTAATAATTTCCATAATAGTGTCGTCGTCGTCTGCCGGTGAATGTGAACGTGGACGGGTGGCCCATGGGACGAGTTTTGAGCGACGCCAGCGTGCGCCTCGAAATGATTTATGAGCGACGTTCGAGGACGTTTCACTTTGAGAATTCAGGTCTCATAGCGGGAGATTCCGCTGCATTCGCTTAACAGTTACACTACAGAACACGTAGGAGATGGGGAATTTTGCCTATACCGGTAGGATTCGAACAACTGGGGATAGCATTGGACCTAGCTTGGGATTATTTCCATTCTCTTCAACTTTTCAAAGTTCACATCCATAGTGTCCATTTTTCGGAACCATATATTTCGATATTTATGCAAGGGGCATGCATTTGGGCCCATTTTCTCAGCGCTGCAGACCAGGAAGCTGCATGGGACTGGAATTATGCCATTATTTCCAGAATAGGACAGCCATCTTCCATTACGAGGGTATCACGAAGCGCTGACGGCTTGATTCCCTCTAATCCCCCTTTATTTGTAAGGATTAGCGGCACAACAGTTGCCATAGAAGCCCTATCTGAAGCCCAGTAAGCTGCGGTTTCCGGCTGATTCCCGTGGTTTATACGACTGATGGGCTTCCTCTGAAGCTTTCGATTAGTTCTAGACTGATTACAAGGAACCAGCGTCAAGATTGTCAGTATTGGAGCTGTCCTTCCTGTTGCGATTCAGAATTTCACTTCTTTACAGTTTCCATTCTCGGTTCCAGGATTCCGTTTCTTCAGTTGACTCTTCTCTTCCCCTTATAAAGGCCACGAGCTGAGCTTTCTGGTCGGGTCGCCTGAGTTGTTCATTTACAGCCGATGCTTGATTTCGCTTTGCAGCTTCACAGCTTGATCGTCTGGCTAATTTTGTAATAAATGAGTTTCCTTCCTTTAAAGTTTTACCTCGAACCAGTTGGTCAATCAAAAGTGGCTGAAACGATGCCTCAAATCAATGTGCCCTCTGATCGGCATTCAGAAACCCTCATTCACCTTGTCTGACCTCGATCTCTATTTGCTAATTGTTGGTGGAGTGGAAGGCAGAGGGCTGAGCGCGGTTGTGCAGGTGTTCACACTGAGGATCTGATCTGCCTGTGCTCGTTTTGTCTCATACGATTCACGGTGTCGAGGTCACGGTCCGGACCACCTGTGCTGGTTTTCCGGTCCCGTCGAGAAATCCGACTCCCAAATGGCAGCATTAACCAGCCGTTTGGGCTCTTTCGGAACCCGAATGCAGTCAGTTTAGCCTAGCGACTTGATTCACAGAGTGTGTAGCTCTAGGAGAGGCGGTCCGGAAAGTGGTTTCCCATACCCATTCACTTACTCTTACGTTGGCTACCACTCGGCTCTGAAATGATCCCTTTTATTGTAGCGAAATGCTAAACCACAAAGGAATCCTTTCAAAGTTAACTGCGGTTATTGTAACCACTTCAATATAACTCCTTTAAATGGCTAGGTATTAGCCAAACTGGTAGAGGCGGTTGATTTTATGGCCTCGCCACTGACATTCGACGTCAGCTCAGTGATGCGGTGCTAATTATCAATTCCTTAATTAGCGACCCACTGGTTGGTTTCAATTAGTGGGCTCTTAACGATAATTTAGCGAATTTCAGTTGTTTTTCTCAAATTGTGAAAATGTATAATGATATTTTGGCTTAATTTAAGTATACAAAGTTACTCCTTCTTGTTTTACACTGAGTGCGACAAAATCGATATATTGATTTTCTGAAATTAGTAGAAGTCAATATATTGTCTTTTGTCTATTCCTTGAGTTTTTTTTTTACCTTCAAGCCTGTTGTTCTCTAAATTTGTCAATGAATTCGTTTTGCTGCAAGCCATTGCTATCTAGTATACTGTAAAAATCGATTTATTGATTTACGGCCGGGCGCTATTCA